GAATAAACAATAATAACACCTAAGATGATAAACAATAATAAGCAAAAGTAAATCCATCACATGATTCAGGGGAAAGTTATATTACATACATTTAACAAACACCCATATATAAAAGGGAGTGAAGGGGGGAGAATAAAGAGGTAGAATACATGAAAAAGGAAGCAAATTTGAAGGGGAGATATAGAGAGAGCATTTATCGGAAGAACCCTCTCTTTGATCCTCTTCAACTTCACCAAATCTCAGCATCAACCAGCTTTGAAATCCAACTCCGACGCGGAATATAAATCCTCTTCCTTTTGGATTTTTAGGGTTATAGTTCTTTTACTTATTATTTTGTTTAATGGAAGAGGAAAAATGAGAGTGCTTGATAATTGTAGATGGTTTAGGGTTAAAGGAGAAAAAATGAAAAGGGTTAAAGGGATGCGAGACTTGAAAACTGTAAACTTACGACGTTTCTAAACACAAATGCCATTAAATTATGAGTCTTTAGCAACATTTGTATAAAAATGCCACAAAAGTACTAGTTTATATCGACATTTGTACAAAAACACACTAAAGTATGAGTTTTTAGTGACGTTTGTATAAAAGCGCCACTACATTACGAATCTTTAGCGGCATTTATATACAAACGCCGTGAAGGTCAGAGTCTTTGCGGCGCCGTTAAAAATATAGCTATAAACCCATTTTGTTGTATTGATCAATCTAACTTTTCTTCTTTAATTTGTTTAATTGGCGGTGTCACTGATTTTAATGCTAATTGTCGCTCGTCGGTTATATTTTTTCTTTGTTTTTTTTTAGTTTTTAATAAGAATAATTATGTCTTTCACTACAGCAAAATATGTTTTTAGCGGTGTTTTTTCAGTCGTCGCTACAAATCTTTGTGGCGCAAAAACAAATGCCGCAAAAAGCATCGCTGAAACAACCGCCGTGAAAGGTAGCGACATCTGTCGTTCACAAACGCCGCTAAAGGTTATGATATTTAGCGATTTTTTTCCAAACGTCGGTATTTATCTTTTCTTTTGTGGCATTTTGTCCCAAAAATGCCACTAAATGTTCTGACATATAGTGACATTTATTCCAAAAAACACAGCTAAATGTTATGTCATATAGGGACGTTTATTCCTAAAAATGTCGCTATTGACTAAGTATATAGTGGTGTTTTATGTATAAACACCGTAAAAGATCTAGATCTTTAGTGGTGTTTTCAAAAATGTCGGTATTAACTATGTATTTAGTGGCGTTTTTTTATACAAACGTCGCGAATTAAAATTAATTTTTCAAATTTTGTTTTTATTCTTTTGTTACCCAAATTTAACCTGTAGCATTATCTAATAAACTTGCCATCCATAACAACAAACTTGAAATCCATAACAAGAAAATTGAAATAAATAATAATATATCAAAGTTTACATTAACGTAAAATATAATGTAGTTCAACATTGTTAACTAGAATAAACAATAATAATACCTAAGATGGTAAACAATAATAAACAAAAGTAAACCCATCACATGATTCAGGGGAAAGTTATATTACATACATTTAACAAAAACCCATATATAAAAGAGAGTGAAGGGGGGAGAGAATAAAGAGGGAGACGACATTAAAAAATAAGCAAATTTGAAGGGGAGATATAGAGAGAGCATTTATCGGAAGACCCTCTCTTTGATCCTCTTCAAATTCACCAAAACTCAGCATTAACCGGCTCTGAAATCCAACTCTGACGCGGAATATAAATTATTCTCCTTTTGGATTTCTAGGGTTACTGTTCTTTTACTTATTATTTTTGTTTAATGGCAAAGGGAAAATGAGAGTCCTTGTTAATTGCAGATGATTTAGGGTTAAAGGGGCAAAATGAAAAAGGGTTAAAGGGGCACAGGACTTAAAAACTGTAAACTTACGACGTTTGTAAACACAAATGCCACTAAAATACGAGTTTATAGCGGCATTTTTACAAAAACACCACTAAAGTACGAGTCTTTAGTGACGTTTGTATAAAAATGCCACTAAAGTACGAGTTTATAGCGGCGTTTGTATAAAAATGCCACTAAAGTACGAGTTTATAGCGGCGTTTGTATAAAATCCCCACTATAATATGAGTCTTTAGGGGCGTTTGTTTACAAACACCATGAAAGTCAGAGTCTTTTGCGGCGTTTGTTCAAAAAACGCCGCTAAAAACCCATTTTATTGTAGTTTTTGTGACATGTTATCTGTCTTTATGACACGTTTATATATGCCTTTGTGGTATGTTTTTCTCTGCCTTTTGGTAGCTTATGATTTTTTGCCATTGTTTTTGTTTATCTTTTTTCTCAGGGTTGGATTTGATATCGCTACGACTGATCAAGATGGAGCTTATTTTTTTATCATGATGATCTTTCCTGCCTTGGACCCTCAGTTTGATTTGAATACACATTTTGCATTCATGGATAGTTTTATCACGTTGCAAGACTCTGATTTGCGATTTCTTGGTTATCTTTCAGTAGCTTCATCCTCTTTTGTGATTCGTTTATCGATGCAATTAGATATGTTCATATCTTTATTTTATTTGAGTTTTTTGTTAGTTTTTTTTACTTTTTCCTTCTTTGGTCCTTATGTGATATAGGTGGCTAATTTTTGTCTTTATGGTAATAGAAAAATGTCATAATTATATTTTAGGTTTACGGTTATGCTTGTAAATCTTCATTGTAATTTTGGATATATTTTTTTTAATAAAACTAACGACTTTCTATCAATTTTTTTGACTTTTTGAAAGTCAATAATGAACACATTTAGTGAGATGGAAGGAGTAATTTGTACCCAAATTATTTCAATACAACTTTTTCCTTCTTTGGTCCTTATTTGATATAGATGGCTAATTTTTGTCTCTATGGTAATAGAAAATGTCATAATTATATTTTAGGTTTACGGTTTTGCTTGTAATTCTTCATTGTAATTTTGGATATTTTTTATTTTTAATAAAACTAATGACTTTCTATCAATTTTTTTTGACTTTTTGAAAGTCAATAATGAACACATTTAGTGAGATGGAAGGAGTAATTTGTACCCAAATTATTTCAATACAACTTTTTTCTTATTGGTCCTTATGTGATATAAGTGGCTAATTTTTGTCTCTATGGTAATAGAAAAATGTCATAATTATATTTTAGGTTTACGGTTATACTTGTAAATCTTCATTGTAATTTTGGATATTTTCTATTTTTAATAAAACTAACGACTTTCTATTATTTTTTGACTTTTTGAAAGTAACACATTTAGTGAGACGGAGGGAGTAATTTGTACCCAAATTATTTCAATACAACTTTTTTCGTTGACAATAAACTCAAATTTTATGTTTATCTAATTAGTCTATTTTCATAGTTAGCTCAAATTCATGGAATGATAATTCCATAAAATCAACTTATAATTCAATCCTCTAAATCTTCAATGATCGTTGTTTATACACACGATTGGATTGCGCCCTACTGGGTCCTTTGCCCCTTTTGGAAGAGGTGGAATAGCTACTATTGCACAGGGACTGAAATTCGATCAATGTTTTCTTTTTGGATAATCTTGAATTAAATGACTATGTTTCCATACTAATAATTACGGATGAACATGAGTGGAGTTCGGTTAGATTTTCTATTAATTCGATCAAATCCTATAAAATATATCTTTCACTTAATTTAGTTCGATTCGAGTCTAACATGATTTTAACTAATCATAAATCTGACTTATCTTTTAAGATAAAATATGCATCTAACGCAACTCGACTCGACACAAAAATATAATTCTTAATTTTATTTAATAAAGTAGGGATATAGTTGAAAAAAAATAATATAGAGAAGTATATTCTTATAACTATCCTTAAATATATATAAGATATAATTATATTATTTTTGGATTAACTCAAATATTTTTACCCTAAAATCCGACCCGATTCAAACTTATACTTTAAAAAATTTGACCTAAATATATATATCCAATTAAATTAAATTAAATTAAATTGAAACTCATCGAATTCAAATATTGTTCCCTTCCTGCTAATAACATACTCTGGAAAAACTGGCCACATTCTCCCCGTAAAAATGTTTTAAATTGAGAAATAAATTAAAAAATTATTTAGGTTAAAAAAAGCAAATACTTGAGTTATCCACATAGAAATCAATCCATGAAAGTTAGAACAGGGGAGAGAAGAAAATGATAAACCCGTTAACAGATATCACGATTCAATCTCAACCTCCTTAGGAGGCTGACCAAATTCACATAATTTGGCTAATCAGTGATTTTTTGTGAAAACCCTAATTAAGACCACCTTATCCATTGCATAGAGCCGCTCAAAAAGTAGCTCCAAATCAGTGATTGTCACGTCACTATTTTGGTCGATAAGACAATCATACCCTTAGAAAGCAAAGGATCTGATTGGTATGAACCTCTGCCCAAAACAGGCAGTGGAGGGAGGGCAACCGATGAACGCTTAACTTGGTATCCACGAATGACGCAGGCCAATCGTCCCAGTTCCAAGGAGCCCCAGACCAGTAACGAACGAAAATAACCCTGGTCCGCTTGATCTGACGGTCACTATTGATTTCCATCAACACAAGAAAATGCATCAGACGGTCAACCGGCCAATAAATTACCTACACACAAGTAAGTGAATCAGTGACTTTTTTTTTCCTCTTTTTCGCCTAGTGGTTTAGAACGGATTCTGTTCTATATATGCAGTGGGGAGCGTCTTGCTTGTATCCTCTCGGTTTTTCTTACTCTTTTTTCTGTCGTTGTGGTTTTTACTTGTTTATATTTTGTTTTCATTTTGAGTTTTGTGCTGTTGATGCGTCACTAATCGACACTATTGTTGTTGGATAAGCTGTTCTGTGAAAGAAAAAGGACACTTGAGTACGTGTCCGACACCCGTGCGTGCTGCATGATGAGAGAGAGACTGAAAGACAAGTGAAAATAAAGACTAGTGATGACGATGAACAACGGGAAGAGTTTTTTCTTTCTTTCTTCTTGTTCTGATGTTGGGGTTTTGGTTCTTTCAGTTCCTAGCTTATGATTCTTACCAGGTTGTTTTTTTTTCCTTTTTACCTTTATAGGAATGAAAACCCTAAAACATGTCGTTTTTTGAAACCATTTTTTCTGAAAACGGCATGGATCGTGGATTTGAAGGTCTTACTTTTGGTACTTTTTTCCCATTAGTGGCTGTTGTTGTATTTTCAGATCTGACTCTGGGTTTCTTTCCTTATATGGCAAACTCTTTACCTTTTGTTTTTTATTCTTTGGTTCTTCATATGTTTACTGTCTTTGTGTCCTCAAATCCTCATTCTATGGGACATAGAAATTGACAGAAGAGAGTGAGCATACAGAGGCACTTGTATAAGGCTATACAATTGTTTTTGTGTGCTCACTTCTCTTTCTGTCAGATTCCAGTGCCGGAATTTGACCTTTGGGACACTTTTCGGCCTGTTTTTGTTCCATATATTCTCTCTCTTTTTTCGTCTCCCTTAGTACCTTCCGTTTCCTTCTATGATCTTTGCCATTGATTTGTCTGGAGAGGAGTCGAATTTGACTGCAGGCGCCACTGAAGATGGTTGTCTACTTATGATTTCACTGTGTATTGTAATATGGTTATTTTCTATACCTGTTACTGTATCCCAATATGATTAATTTATGTCAATTAACTTTTTAAATACAATTAATGGATTCAAAGCGTGACTTTTGATGTTATTCACTGTGCAGATTTAGCGGCAAACGATTAATTAGCATGGGACCATTCGTGTTATCCAGTGCCTACAATTAGCTACTATGGTCCTCTTTAACCAAGCCCTCTTATATAATTTTCTTGGAAATTTTCTTCTTGTTACTTGTTAGCACTATCTTCATCTTTTACATTATTTTATTCCTACGCATGAAACCGTATCCAGATTTCTCCTAGAAATTTGTCTTGCTTGGAGTTCTTTTTTCCACCTGAATCCAGCAGCACCAGGTTGCTTGTATTCTCAGTTGCAAATGGAGCTTCCTATTCGTGAGTTCAATTTATAACCCTATCTTGTAACAGTAACAAGTTGCCTATTTGTAAAACTGGTTGCCTTTTATGTTCCTACTGCAGGGAGATTGATTTTTTTTTGAGTTTTGTAACGCTGAGTCGTGGCTTGTTCATTGGTATAAAATTATTACTCAGTTTGGTATTAACTTGGAAATGCTGATCTTGTTTCATTTAAAGCACTTGCATCTATTTAGCACTTTTGTTTGGGGTCTTTGTAACTTCTTGCGTCTGCAGAAGCATTTAACTCTATGATTGATTTGTACCCAAGGTAAACGTTACATGCAATCGACGTATTTCAATCTGCGCGGTTTTCTTTTGGGAAATGGAAATATTTTACTGTAGACAATAGATGTCTGTGCTTTTAATTTTGTCCTGTTTGCATCCTTTGTTCTTTGATTTCTGAATTCAAAATTATTTGTCTTTATATTGTAAATACATGAACAATGAGACAATACGAGGTCATCTTGTCATCAACTTATGCCTTATTTCTTGGTTAACTACTTTTTTGCAGGCAAAATCTGACTTTGTTACCCGAAAAAGGATGAAGGAAAGGTTGGTTTTATTTTCAGTATACTGTGTGTAGCTCTTTCTAGGGTTTGCATTTCATTAAATATTCAGCACTAGCCACACACATCTTGCTTATACTTTATCGTTGGGGATGATAATAACATGTATATTTTTACTTGTACTGATTTAACTATATGCGGTTGTTTTTTGCAGGTTTTATATTTCATTAGAAAAAACAATGCCCCATGTATAGCAATCTATTATGTGGAATATGAATTAATTTGGCCTGTTTCATTCGATCCTTTCCCCCCACATCCAAAGGTCAAATTTGTCTGGTCATTTCTTATTTTATTCACTGCTTTCGATCGAACCATGTCTTAATGACAAATGCCATGTATTATTCTTAACAAGATGGTACTGGTAGTCTTTGTATAGATTGTCAAATTGTGGAATCCTTAATGTCATGCAGCCCATCTAAATTCATAATAATGCATGCACCAACTAATTCTTTCAACGCCCTGTGCTCCGATTGTGTCAGAGTATGGTTTTGTTACTAGATAGAAGGAAAAATGGTTGCTTTTACCAATTATGATATTGATTTGGATTTCGGAGTGCTGTTGCTTGTATGAGTCTCAAGGCATTGCACTAATGATCGACTGTCTCCTTAGTTTAAAACCGAGGCGCAGATAGTCCCGGAGCCTAGGCTTAAGACACATGATGCCTTTCGTAGGCGAGACACTTTTTATGCTATAAAGTTTATAAATCAATTCTATGACATATTCACACTCGTTGCCCATTGGTTCACTCTTAAATCACTTAATCTACCGCCATAGTCTATTTATTTACCATTGTTATTTAAATATTATTTAATTTAATGTTTTATTGTTCAAAACTAATTATATTCACAACTTGCATTTCACCTGGTTTTACAGTCAGATAGAAAGCTCAATGCCAAACGGCTTACATGTCACTGCGTTGTTATCTTTTCTATTTTCTGATTAACTTAGATGATATGTAGTTGGATTCATACATTTAATTATTGCCGTTAATATGTTGTCGGATTCATGTACTTAACTCTTGCCATTAATATATAGTTGGATTCATGTATTATAGAATAAGGAAACTTGTGTAGTCTCCTTACATGAAGGAGCAATGTCTTTTCTACTCTCATTAATGTGATTCGTGTTTTACCCATCACTGTTGTATATTTATGAGAACATAAGGCACAAGAATAAATCTTAAATCACACTTACTTACCAAACTAACATATCTTCGTGAATTCTTTTCTTTTTATTCTTTTCTATTTCCAATCATAATGCATATGCGGTATGTTTTGGTGGAAGAGACAAAAGAGCAACTGAGCAGGTCTCTCATTCCTAAGACAACAAAAGTGCATGCCTAGAGTCTGTGCAGAAGAGGCCTCAAAGCTCGTGTTTGGGAAGGCTTCTCGTTTTGTAGCGCCTATCTCTCTAAAGTTGTTTTGTTCCGCACTTACCTGCATCTGACGCCTTAGATGTGTTTTGAAAACTAAGATTGTCTCCTTGACTGTTGAGATGCTTTGTCTAATTAACATCTGTTATAGTTTATTTGAAGGTTTTTTTCTCATGAATCTATGATAAGTTTGTCCATGAGTGTGTTCAACATGTATGTGCAGTTGACTACACGGAGCTGTGTTTCTAGTTTCAAAAAACTTATAATTAAATGCAACAGGAACAACGTAAAACTTACAATTAACTTGTTCTTAATTGTAACTTTTCTATTGTTCCTATCGTTATTGATCTCCTATGTAAATGCCCTATGGTGAGTTTAGCACCATAAGCCAAACTTAGCTTTGTAAATAGATTAATTTGTCAGCATGGTGGTTATATCATGTTTATAATTTTCAAAACTGCAAGATATTCAAATCACGATACTGCTTGGAACCATCTTGAAAACCTTAAAGAATGTACTGAAAACGTATGGTTAGATCAATTTGTGATTCTGAGGTTAGAGTCCTTTGACTATTAGGTCTTAGGGTTCTGGATTTCTTAATCTTAACCAAGAAAACAAGAGAGATGAAACTGATACACGAGCTAGGATTAACAGGATCTCTCATGCATGAGGTAGAAATGGATCGTTTACCCTTTTTTACTTTAAATTTGAAGCCAATAATTTGCCTGAATAACATTAATGCAGTTGTTGTACACTTGTGTTTTCAGGATATAGCAAGTTGTTAGCAATTATCTTCTCTTGGTGAGCTAAACGGAAATGCTTTGTAGTGTTAAGCCATCTTCAAACATTGGGCAAGATCAGATTCATCAGATAACAACCCGTTGACCTTACTTCTCTTTGTTCATTTCAGAAAAGTACACATCTGCTTGATTCTTTTATATAACAGTCTTATGGATATGGAGGGCTTGCTGCCTGCACTAAAAGTTCTGATAACGGCTGATAGGACTTCTTATCGTGGGTGGTTGACCGGGAAGGCATATATTTGAGTTTATGGATGTAAATGAATGTGGCTTAAATAAATAAATCTTCACTTATGTTTGATTATTTTTAAGTTTGTTTATGTTTGATTCATGCTTGTTAAAAATTTAGAACTGTATGTGTACATGTATTTATAATTATGTATTATTTTATTTTCTTTAATGTTTATAAACATCTTCCTTTCATGTTCATGATTATTCATATCAAACATATTTATTTTCTTTTGTTTATTGTTTATAAACGTATTTATAATTACACATTTAATATCTAAATTATCAGTTTTAGTTCGTTTTATCATCTAAACTTTTATTTTTTTCAAAAGCATACTTAACGTTTAGTTTTGATTTCATTTTAGTACCCATTGTTAAAAACTTATCGTGTTTAATACCTATACTATTAGTTTTGGACTGTTTTAGTATTTTAACTTTCAATTTTTTCAAACTTAACGTTAAGTTTGAAAGGGGTACTAAAATGAGACAAAAATTAAAATTTTTAACAATGAGATACTAAAATGAAACTAAAACTAAAGTTTAGGTATACATTTGAAAAAAATTAAAAGTTTAGATATTAAAACGGACTAAAATAAACCGTAATTTACTAAAATGAAACTAAAATTGAACTTTAGGTATACTTTTGAAAAAAATAAAAGTTTAGATACTAAAACGGACTAAAAACGTAATTTATTCATTAAATAAATATATTTATGAACATTAGATAAATATATTCAGGTATATAATTGAATATGTTTACAGACAATGAAAAATCTGTTCTTGAACAATAAACAAAACTAGGATAAATATATCTTTTACCTTTTAGATATAAAATAAGTACCTTTAAATATTAAGGTTAAAGTACGTTAACGATTACTAAACTATGCTTAAATGATTGTTTTAGTCCCTAAACTTTTAAAAGTTCTAAAATGACAATAAATGTTTGTTAATTGATTATAAATAATTATTAAATTTTGTTAAACTATTACGAAATAACTATTAAATTTTTAAACTTTTATAGTTATTTTATAATAAATTAATAATCATTTAATAATTTTTAAAATTTAGTGGCTACAATGATCATTTTAGTATAGTTAAGTGACTTCTGGTGTATTTTACTTGAATGATAGTACTGTAAACAAGTACATATAAATATTATAATTATTTTTAAAGAAATAATCAAAAAAAATAATATAAAAAATCCTAGCCGCTTTTCCTCCTCTTCTCTCTCTTTTTTTTTCTTTACAACTTGTGTCAATTTATGATCAATCTAATTTTTTCTTTTTAATTTTGTTTAACCAGCGGTGCTACGACTTTTATGTGATTGTCGCCCCCTGGTTATCTTTTTTCTTTGTTTTCTTAGTTCTTTTTAATAAGAATACTTATGTATTTGTGACATGTCTATGTCTTTATGATGCATTTATCTATGTTTTTTGTTGTTTTAACTTACGATTTTTTTGCTGTTGTTTTCGTTTATTTTTTCAGAGTTGGATTTGACATCGACACGACTGATCAAGATGTCGTTATTGTTATTATGTGATCTTCTCTGCTTTGGACCATCAGATTGATTTGAATACAAGTTTTGCGTTTGTGGATAGTTTTCTCACCTTGCTTGACTCTGATTTGCGATTTGTCGGTGGTCTTCAGTAGCTTCATCTCCTTTGTAGTTGTTTACCGACGCAGTCAGATTTGTTCATATCTTTATTTTGTTCGAGCATTGGTTAAATTTTTTAATCTTTTTTTGTCATTGTGTGATCTAAGTGACTATTTTTGTCAATGATTATAGTAAAATATCCTAATTATAATTTAGTTTATGTTTACGGTTAGTTTGTAAATCTTTATTGTAATTCTATATATTTATTTTTTTAATAAAATTAGAGGATTTCTATAAAATTAATCAAAATTAAATGAATATAATAAATGAGTTTAAATAGATTTCTAAATTTGTTTACGAAGATAAACAAATTAAACAATTGACTTTAGGCTCAGAACCTTCCCATGAACCAATAGATAAAATCCAAACGCAATGGGGCTATATTGGAGCAGTCGGATCCAAAGAGACCCGCCAATCCATTACCATAACCGATGGTTGTGACCGACAGTTGATTCCGAATAGACTCACCACCAGGTCCCATACCACACGGACACGGTGGATAAGAAAAATCAAAACCCAACCAAGCCAAGGGGCATAAATAGATAAATATATACGCTCTTCCTTTTTTTTTTATCAGATCTCATTTCACCCTGTCCCTTCTCAAAGAAAGCGTTCCTCCACCGTCAAAATGGGGTCTCGATCCATATCTATGAACGATCGGACCGTCTCGATCGTATGGCCGCTCCTCTTCCTCCTTTTGATCCACAGTTCTCACTGCTTCTACCTCCCCGGTGTCGCCCCCGAAGACTTCCAGAAGGTAGACTTCCGATTTCTCTGTTTCTTTCTTTGTTTTGCTTGATCTGGTTTGGATTTGTGGGAGAATAATAGGATTCATATAAGATCCTTCCGAGAGGGAAAATTAATGGAAATAACTTGTCAGATTCAGCTAGGCTTTTTCATTTGAATAAGTTAACTGAAATTTTCACTTGATGATTTCATTTTCCGTTTCATTATTTTATTTGAAAACGTTGATCGTGGACTGATTTAGCTAATTGTTATTCCATTTTTGGTTTTCATCTAAGGCTTCTGTAATTTTACTTTATGCTGATCATGTTCTTTAATGCTACCTTAGAATAATTATGGTTATGATTTAGGAACTGTATCCTAGAATGAGGTTTAATTTACACAATCTGGTTTTTAATTTTTTATCTTCACTTTAACCTCTTTTGCTTTAGATAGGATTCATATAGATCGCTACTGGAAAGAAAGTTAATGAAAAATTTGTGTTGGAAATGGAAATTATATCTCAGATTCAGATAGGTCGTTTAAATTAGAAGTTAGAACAAATTAACTTCATTTCACTTAATTTCAGTTTCAGTTTTCCCCCTTTTATTTGAAAACGTTGAGCATGCATCCTTTTAGCTAATTTATAAATTTATTCCATCTGCCTTCAAATAAATAAATAAATAAATAAATTTATTCCATCCTTGCATTTATCATAGGCATTTGAGATTCTACTCTGCTCATGTTCTGTAATGCTACCTAAGCATACTTGTTCTTTATGGTGATTGATT